ATCTTTGATAAGAATAAGCATGTATAGTACCTTATTTATCTTTAGTCTCTAAATTCCTTAGAGTGGATTTCACAATTTTAAAATAGTACAGTATTTTGCTTAGCACAATAGGCCATTCAGAGAAAGACAAATATATTATCTCATCTATATATGGAATCTAATGAACAAAATAAACTCATGAATAAAATAGAACCAGAGGCATGGAAACATGAAACATACTGAAGAATCTGAGAGGGAAAGGAGGTGGGGATGGAGGTGGGGAGAGATTAACCAAAGAATTTATATACATGTATGCATTGCCCATTGACATAGACAATAGGATGGTGAAGGACTAGGGTGGGGTGGGAACTGAGTAAAGGGGGGAAAGGAAGAAAAGGAAAGGGGGGACATCTGTAAGACTCTCAACAATAAAGATAATAAAAATAAATAAAATAGTATAGTAAACTCCAGGAAAATTCTTGTAGTCTATGTAAACATTATTGTAATTTATATTAAAGATTCTATGGATCCCAGAGTCATGTACAACAAATCCAATCCACATTCTCATTCCACAGAGGATGAAACTAAGAACCAAGAACACAGTAGCTCTTTCAAGGTCATGCTATATAGAAGCAGAATCTAGGTCATTCACCTACAAATATGGGTATGTGTTTGTTTTCTAGGCAGTAACAAGTTAGTTTCGTGCCGCAACATTTACTGTATCATTTTTGTAATCAAAAGCCATATTGTAAATAGTAAGGTCGTGAAGGATCTGAAACATTTTCCCCCTGGTTTAAACACAGTATTTGAGGGGTGAGGGAGAACAGATAGATAAATACTTATGATCATAAAGAAATGAATATACAGCTTAATATATTGACTCACTAGTCTTTATTTAAATCTACACAACAGTAAATTGCAACTCCTATTTTTTTAAAATTCTTTGAAAAGTTATTGAATTTGGTAGAGTTGAAAACCTTTTCATACAATTAAAACATACTTTTAAATATGTTTCTTGTGATGAAATACAACCAATTCAATGTACTAATGTGTTTAATGGTCACTGGGGAGATCTATCGATAGATTAATGTTAATAAAAATAATTTTAAAATCCTTTGTTTATCACTTTGAATATTATAAATCTGTCCTCTTCTCAACCCTGCTAGGCTGTTTTCAAGTTGGGTTGTTTATATTTCATTCTGATCAATAGCACATGTTTGGCCGATCAGTGTAAAGAATGTTACATATATCTTTCTATGTCAAAGAATTCTGAGCTCCACTTTGGCATCCTAACATACACACTACTAAAATATAGTCAAATAAATGTCATAGGTTCTATTATATGAATGTTATCATGTGCTCTAAAATAAGGTTTCACACATTAGGAATTAGGAATGCATGATAGAAGATGATTTGACTTTGGGTGGTGGGCACACAAAGCAATGTATATAGATCATGTATCACAGAAACGTATGCTTGAAACCTATATAATCTTCTTAAAAAATGTCACCCCAAAAACTGTAATTAAAAATTATTTTAAACAGAAGGAATGTAACATGGCATATTAACCCAAAAGACAAAATCTAGATAGCATAAACACCAACCTAAGAAAATTTTAGTAAAGGACTATCCCATTGATAAGGTCCTCTCCCTTTCTGCCTCTTAATCTCTACTGACAATCAGTTATCTGTACATTCTCTTTCATCTTTCATTCTCATTGTCATAGAGAACCCTAACACTGAGTCCCAATAGTTCACTGTAAAAGATAAACTTAGCAGACAATTTCAGGATACTGAACATAAGTTCATGATGCTGTGTCTTTACCTCCAAGAGTCTTTAGCCTAACTGAAACTGTCTATAGTTCTTCTGTTCCTCTCTACCTTGCTTGCTGTCTTTTTTCTTGATGAATTCTTTGCAGTGCTATGCTTTGATTCTTTTCTCTTTGTCTTTTCTTGTTTCTGCTATATGTTCTTTCTTTGTGGTCCCCATGTGTCTTGCAAAACAAAACAAAACAAAGCTAACTTTTTATTGTTATAACAGTCTATTTTGAGCTGATAATAACTACACTTTAGTGCATACAAAAACTATACTTTTACTTCCCCCAACATACACTCTAGAGTGTTGCTGTCAGAATATAACAGATAAAATAGGATGTGCAAAGACCCCAACAGAATCAAGTCTAGCACATTAGTAGAAAAGGAAAATCAGTATTCAAAAGGGAAAAGATTGCAAAAGGGGCTGAAGAAGTAAGCAGGATACAGATGAGTCATGTCCGACTAAACATTGTAATAATTTGTTGTTGAATATTCCCAAAAACATTGGATTTTTTTCCCTCAGGGATCTATAGAAATAAAGCATGCCACATTATAAAGTTTTAGTAATACATATTAGAGAACAAATACATATATGATTCTTCATCAACAGTGCAATGAGCAATGCCCAAACCAGTATCAAATCAGAATACTTCACTCTTGGAGAGACAAGTGCTGAGCAGTGCATTCCCCACCAAGCATGCCAGGCCTCTTCTGTAATCCTTCCTGCTCCTCCCCCAACCCCCAGGTATCCTTGGTCACCTTAATGTAAAGGCGTCCACCAACTTCCATGTCATCCCCCAATAAAAATTTATCCACATGCCATTCAGGGGAGCAGGCATTAAGCCAATAAGGTCATTTCAGGGTATGGGAGAAGGGATTCTGGGAAATAGCTTCAATGTACAAGATGATGGAAAAAGAAGAGAAGTGGACAAGGGAGTCTTATTTCCAGAAATTGCTGGGCTAATAGTTGCACATCAGCTCACCAAGTTTCAGTGCTGGTCAGGTAAGCAAATTCAAGGTTATGCAGGGGAGATTGGACAGAGATAAGAACTGGGATGATTTTAATTCTGTGGCTCCAATGTAAAGTGCAGACTATATGTTTAGCATACTTTTCTCCACCATAGAAAAAACATACAAGGCAAAACTTCCATCAAATTACCTGAGAAGGCTGTAAAAAGTTCTCGCAACAGGAGCTGGATGAAAGCTGGCTTGTTGTTACAGTCTGCCCGCGGTACCCAGTGCCTCCCCATTATCTCCACAACATGTATCTAGCATCCAACTCTCTGGCCACTTTCTTTCAACACAACCCCTCTTTCCACTGTTACGAATTTTACATCTTGTTCTCTAGAAATAGTAAATGTCATGAAACTCCTGAGTTCACTAGGCATTGTTTTCATTCTCTGCTTCTGCCCATGTTGTTTCTGCCCCTGGCATATTTTCCCCCAATGTGGCCTTTCAAGTCTCAGATTCTGCACTTCATCTGAGAAGCTTTCTCTGACTCAGCAGGCACATTTGGACATGCTTTTCCCTAAGTCTCCACATTACTGCAAACTTACATCATATTAATTATGATACTACACTTTGATTACTTTTCTTTTTATTAGGTATAATCTTACAATCTGGGTATAATGTCTTATTTTTTCTGTTACAAAGGACAGAGAAGTTCCTGATATGTGAATAGGGGCAAAAAAGCAAAAACACAAAAACATTTCTTGGATTATTTTTACTGAGAGAGGAGAATTCTGTGCCATCTGTTTGACAATGGCAGAAAATCCTACTTATTACACAGTAATTCATCTCTCTACTGACCAGTGCTGAACCACATCAAGAGGCCAATCCTATCTCCCAGCAATTAAAGATACATTTGGAAGAGCTAACATAGCTTTTCAATGTATAATGAAATGCAAATAATTAAAAGCAGATGTCTACTGGAGTGCAGTCAAGAAAAGAGAATCAGATCACAGGAGGAGAAATCATTAGAAAACAGAAGTATAACAGATTTTTTTCACCCCACTTTGGTTTAAATCCTCATATAGGAATAATTTGTAGGAATATCAATGTTCCCAGGTAATATAATAAATCCTGTTTGTAAAGACTGAACCATTAAAAGTTGGAGACCAAAGTGGATTATGTCAAAGTGAGGGTTAGAGGTGGACAAGTTATAAGTATGGTGATGAAAAAGGCATGTTAAACATTTTCAGTTCTTTATTAAGGATGACAGATGGCTGGGGTAAAACACACGAATGGAGTGGCCTGGTGTAAAACAAAGCAAATGTGAGATCTCTGGTTCTCCTCTGATCTGAGAACTCAGCTATAGCTTTAGAATTCTGGCTCAATATTGGAGGGGTTGTGTTTGTTTTGTTTTTAAAGAAAATCTATTAAGCTATATTTTCTGTGAAAACTCCCGCTATCTAATTTTATTAGTTAGATTTTTTTATAACCCTAAGAGGGAAGACAAAACATGCTGGGAATACAGGCCAGGGCAGCTTGCAGTCTCTGTTGACCTGCACACCCTGACTCCTTGGGAATGATGAGAAAAACTAGGTTATAAGGGTTAATTAACTTGCTCCAAACCACAAACCTGGTTCATGATGTATAACTGAATTCAGGTCAGGCAATCTGTCTTTAATGGTGCTATTCATAACCTTCCTTCATTTCTCTCTCTCTCTCTCTCTCTCTCTCTCTCTCTCTCTCGCACGTGCGTGAACCCACACCCCACCCACACACCTACACACAAATGTTACACCAACATCTTTGGAATTTCAGTGAAGCCCAGTTTCCTAATTAAAATAATGACTCAAAAACCTGAAATAAAATGCATAAGAGCTCAAAGAAAACCAATTATACTGAATTATATTTTAAAAATGTGCTGTAATGACACAGGGATAAGCTCTACCACCAGAAGTTCCCAGCTAAAGATTAGATGTTTATCCTGGAACTTAAGGGGTATCTCAGCAAGATGAAATGTTTGATGCTATAATTTATGGTTCCAGTTCTAGTAATTTCCTGGACAATACTTTCACCGTGTCTTCAAATAAATAATTACTTTATATTGTCATATATCTGAACAAAGTCTTTCTACCTATAGTTAAAACATATTTATTAATGTGCTATATATAAAATGAATAATTATCATCATTCATTTCCCAGTTAATATTTAAAAAAAATTATTTTATTGATTCTTAGAGAAAGAGAAAGAGAGAGAAGTAGAGAAACATTGATTGGCTGCCTCTGGCATGCCTCCTACAGGGGATACAACCTGCACTCTGGGCATGTGCCCTCACTGGGAATGGAACTCGCAACCTTTTGGTGCATGGGACAATGCCCAACCAACTGAGCTACTCTGGCTAGGGCTCCCAGTTGACATTTTAAATACATCCAGTTATATACGAATTTAAAGCATTTCATTACTGTATTTTGAATAGGTAAAATGGAGTAAAAAATATGTGAATAATATTTTATTACTTTTTAAATATGTAACTTTATTTTAAAATGTTATCATGATTAAATAAGACATTGATTTATTAAACATTATGTATTTATTGTGTTTCCCCTTTCATGCACTCTTGGAATAGATTTCAACGTAAAATGAGTAAGAAACCTCACACACACAGGCCTACAGCAGACAACATTAACTGTAGAAAATGCAAAAAAGATTAATTGGCAGAAATCCAATATTCCAACATTAGTCAATATTGAGTAAATTGACACATCCTGTTACAGTTTTAAAACCACGTCCTTTAAGTTCAAGTAAGCAGATTTATTTCCATAAAATTTAACACAACAGCAACAATAACATAATATTATTAGTATTTATTAAACCCTTAATGAGAGCCAAGTACTGCTTGTTACGTTATGTGTTTTGGCTTAATTTTTACAAAATCTCTGGTAGTTAAATACTATGTGCGCATTTTATAGGTTATGAAACTGAGTCTTAGAAACATTAAAAATACTTGCTCAGGGATACACAATGAGAAAGTGGTGGGATGGAATTCAACCTGCAGCAGACTAATCCTATCTCATTGCTAAATATATGTCCCTCAACCACAGGAAAACAGATCTTGTACCTTAATGAGTCCCCAGCACCCATGAATAGCTTAAATAAAGAACATGCTCAATAAATAATTATAAAATTAAAAACTAAAATTTTAGAAGCAAGGTTTATATTTAAAACAAAGATGATAATTTTTGCTGAAAAATGAAAATGTGGCAAAAGTACATTTCTACCTTAATCTTTTTCATTCATCTGACTGACTTTGAAGCAAGAAGAAATAGTTTATGATTTGATTTAAAATGAACTAGTATTTCAAATTTAAAATGTGGTTTTATACATAACTCCAACATTACATTTTTTCATAAAATTCTACACATTATTTAACCTCAGATATTAACTATTTGGCTTGGAGGTTGTTTGAGCTAAAACACATAAAGATCTTAAAAGTTGAAGATAAATGTAAGAAACTATTAATGCTATTTCTGTCTTTGCAAGACAGGGGTTTGTGTTTTTCTCAAAGTACACACAAAGGGCCTGGATCCAGAATGACATGTTGTTTCCTGAACTCTTTTCATATTCTTCAGTCAATTCAAGGAGATACAGCCTATCAGTATTGTTATTCATAGAAATCTCAGCGTATCAGACAATTTAATATAGTTCCCCACCTCCATGCTAGCAATGAAAAACTGGAAAGTGTTCTATTTCTTTTTCTGCCATATGTCTTAACAAGTCACAGTCTTAAAGACATCCTAAAGTTAAAATATCAAATTTTGCATGCTAGTGGATTGGCCTAAAATACAATTATTCTTCAAAGGCATACTACTTAAAAATCCAGTGCATTTTATGTAGAAGTCAATGGGGATGGGAAGGGTAAAGGAGATGACATTTTTAGAATCCATTCTTTCTAGTATACATAAAATAGTCACAACAAACAATTAACCCATTTTTATTTTCCTTGCATTAGATATTAAAAAGGGATAATGAGGTAAAGTGAATCTCCCAGGATAGCACAACTAGAAAATGACAGAGCCAAGATTTAATTTTAGGGTTCATTAATATTTGGAGCAGTGATCTTTGCCCCTTACAGTCTTGACCTAACTCTGTAAATTCTCTGCATCTTAGATTCTTCAGCTGTCAGGGAAATGGATTAGCCAATTGATTTCTAAAGAGTGTCTTGTAATAAAAAGTATATTTAACATGATCAATAATAAACCAAGTTGTGAAGAATTCTGCTATATATTTGTTAAATTATTTTCATCTTTTTTTCCGCACAAGTTTTGTTATATTGAAAATGAGACCCAAACTCATACTAAGACTAATAATTCTTTTGAATATTTTATTTGAGATGAAAATCTTGTCATAAATTTAATGGTTAATAATTTCCCAAATGCTTTAACTTAGTATTAAATGAATTCATCATATCTATGATACTCAGACAGGTTTTGATGGTTTAAACTTTAAAAATTTCCCTTTGAATAATTATCTGCTATATCAATTATCAAGTGTGATCTGCATACCTATTAAGAAACCATATTGTTAAATTTCAAATCTTCCAAACTGCTCTCTTTTGTTCAAAGTTGGCTCAGAACTCAATTAGACCACTGAATATTGTTTGACAATATTCAAAAGAATTGCTTCACAACATAAATTTTTTTTATGAAAATATTCTACTGTTTTTTCATGAAAAAACAACAAACTGTTATGCCCAACACTCTAAAGTCCTACATGTGGATACCATCAGAGTACCACAAAGTTGTGCAGCTGAGTGATATGCTCTGAGATAGAAGACAAGTGAACAATATTTCATCTCAGGCTTCTCTACATAGTCTTAATCTAAGGAATGTTTATAGGGTTCAATTTTTAAACCTCTGAGTTTATGTACACCAATTTGATGATATGTGCATTTTTCTATGAAAATATCAGGTTTTGAAATGGATCCATAATCTTTAAAACACTGCACTGACTTTTAGGCAAGATATTTCATATTTCTCAACCCTGGCTTTTTATTTTCATGAATTTAGACTAAATGACTTGAAAGACAGCTACTAAGTTTAATTTTTTCTATTGCACTAAGAACAAAACTGATGATACAAAGTCTCAGAAGACCTCTGTTCATTGCACTGGATACCTTGGAGTACTTGTTCCAAGATACAAATATTGGCTACTTAGTTTCTTCATCACAGCAGTTTTCACTTCCTGATTTCTCAAAGTATAGATAAGAGGATTCAAAAGAGGGGTGAAGATGGTATAGAAAACAGAGAGAACTTTGTCCACCAGGAAGTTTGTGAAAGGCCACACGTAGATGAAGATGCAGGGCCCAAAGAACATTAACACAACAATGAAATGTGAAGTGCAGGTAGAAAAAGCCTTAGATGATCCTATGGAAGAATGATCCTTGATAGTAAAAAGAACAATGATGTATGAAGTGAGTAAAAGCAGAAAACTTATAAGAGCAATCACACCACTGGTTGAGATCATGAAGATTCCAAGGACATGTGTATCTATACAAGCCAGCTGGATGACCAAGGGAAGGTCACAGAAGAAACTGTCTACAACATTGGGGCCACAGAAGGGTAAATAGAGAGTAAAAGCTAACTGACTCATTGTATGCAGGAAGCCCACTGTCCAAGATGTTACCACAAGCCCAACACATACTCTTTGGCTGAGAATGGTTGAATAATGGAGAGGTTTGCATATGGCAATGTACCTGTCAAAAGACATGGAGATCAGCAGCACAATCTCAGTCCCAGTGAAGAGGTGCAATAAGAAGATCTGAGAAATGCAGCCCTCAAAGGAGATGGTCTTGCGTTGAGCAAAGAAGTCCATGATCATCTTTGGAGTGGCAAAGGAGGACAGGCACATGTCAATGAGAGACAGATTGCTGAGTAGGAAGTACATGGGGGAGTGAAGATGTGGGGTGGACAGGACTGTGAGCAAAATCAGGCAGTTACCTAACATGGTCATTAAATAGAAAATGGAAAATATCACATTGAAGAAAATCTGTAGCTCAGGAGAATCAGTAAGTCCAAGTAGAACAAATTCAGACACTCTAGAATGGTTGAACTCTTCCATTAATCTGCAGACTTTGCTCTATAATGACAAAATGGAACAGAATAATAGAGCTAGAAAATGTGGTACTTTTATAAGTAGATATGAAGGAGTTATGATATCAGTTAATAGTTTACTTACAGTGGTTCTCAGCCTTCCTAATGCCACGATCCTTTAATACAGTTCCTCATGTTATATGTGGGCATATCTGCATGTGGGCGGATCCCCCTGGAGATGAATAAAGGAGTGGTGTTTGGGTTCCTAAGACCACCAAAAATAATGTGTTTTCCGATGGTCTTAGGCAACCCCTGTGAAAGGGTCGTTTGACCCCCAAAGGGGTTGCAACCAATAGGTTGAGAACCACTTGCTAGAACACTATTACCTAAAATATAACTAATAAATATCTCAGTAACGAGTTTTTCTTTTTGGAATCATTTAACAATTGCTATGAAATATCACTTCAAATGGAAAACTTTTTGGTTTTGATGTGCATAAACACATGTTGAATTATATTCACACAATATGCACACAATCATATTCCTGTTCTGAATATTGACCCAGGAGTTATATGATACATATTTATAGAGGAAGATCACACTAAGTTAGTGTGCTTTCCATAATAAGTCAGGTAAATAAAAACTTAAATAAGGATTAAAATCTCAAAGTTTTCACTTAAACCAAAAAAAAAAGTAATTATGTTGACTCCACTATTATTTAGCACTGTATTTAACTAACAGTTTAATATGATGTCAGGAGACCCACTTAGTAGCCTATGAGGGTGATACATGATTTTCCATATACGTGAACTCCCAATTTTCTCAGCTACAGAAAAATCCAGCTTCATTCTAATTTCACTTGCATACTTTCAATGATTTTGTCAGTATTGATAAGTACTATTTTTAGCTATTAATATATGTGATAAATTTCTTAATTCCACAAATCTACTGATGACCAAATGGTTTACCTGTACCGTATGAGAGTTATTCTCAAACTTGTTACTTTATAATCTCATAGAAACATTTATAAAAGAAAGAAATCCCTCCTTCATTTCTCCTCATGCTATTCAAACACATTTTATTTTATTGACTAGAAAAAATAAGATTTTAAGATTGGGCCAGGAAATACACAAGCTGAGTGTTGGGTATCTCTCAGTACCAGAATATAAGATGCTCAAAATAAAACAAGAAAACAAAAACCCACATTGATGGTGGTAGGTCAAAGTGACACCAGAGCCAACTGAAAGAGAGAAAAAAAGATACTTAAAGTACTTATTTTTAAAAATTGACTTTTCAATTACAGAACATTTCAAGTTCTGCAAATATGCCCTATGACGTTTTCATCTAAGTGACCTCCTGTTTTCCCAATTGAAAAAAATGTATGGTTTCACCCTTATTTACACTCACATATTCCAATTATTCTGTCAATATTGATAAATACGTTAAAACATTTGTCAGAGAACAACGTTCCTGAAATCTTAAAACTGAAACTTAACTGTGGTAAAATGGTTAACAGGGTTAAAGTATTCTTGACTTGCTGTGCGACCTTGATCATTCCTCATTGTCTCTCTAAGAATTTGCTTCTTTGTCTGTGAGAATTAAATTAGATAGTCTGTATAAAGCAGTAAACATTTTTTCTAGGTAACAGTCAAGAACTTTCTAGGTTTCACAATGCAACTTTAAAACTACTGTTAAAAATAATCAGCTTGTTTTATTTTATTAATAGTAGTAATGATAATAATTGCACTAAAAATATTCAAACAGTTTAAATTCGGGGATTAGAAACAGATATGTGCTTCCCAAACCATTTTACCTTTTTGAAGTTTAATTACTTCTTTTCGTATGAAAATTATATGCGTACCTTCATATATTAAGTGCATTGAAAATTCTCAGCTTTACATATTTAAATATTAATTTTATTTTTCTTGACTTAAAAATGTAATTATTAATGAGAGCATGGAAACTATTACTATACTTAATTACAGATATGTAATGATATATGTATTCATTGTCAGTGAATAAACAGTTGTCAGACTTTTCTCTCCTTTCATTTCTAGAATGGCTTTTCTAATACCTTATGTCATCAAGTTATATGTATTTTTTCTTTATTATATTTCTATTGTTTTTGCTTTATACAATTATTAAATTATTTACTTTTTGCTGCCTGAGGAACACAAACTACCACTGCTTGTCAAAAATCCTTAATATTATTTCCAGCTGTTAACCTACCAGCTACTCATCAGGAATCAAAACCACCACATCCTTCAAGATTCACAAGTCTACTGAAATCACCACAGTCCTTAGTAAGCATCAGAAGTAAGGAAATGGATATATATTTTCTGTAGTCTTGGTATAAAGGCCACTTGAAGACAGCTACATTTAGGAGACCAGGGAGTAGACACTACAGTCTATTTGCAGTGGGAGTTATTAAAATGTTGAGCTACTTTTCCCAAAGTTGCAAGAACTATGAGGTGTGTCTTGCTCTTCAAGGTGAGGATGTACCTTCATGTTGAAACAGCGTTGATTACAGAAAGAGCACACCTGGCTCTGGCCTGGGAGGAGGAGAGCTCTAAGAAGTCAGTTAAGGAGCATTTCAGGAGCAAAAAAGTGTTCCTCTTTGAATATGGAAATATTGTCACTTCTTCCACCAGCATTCTATGTCTGGAAAATTACTCTTTTAGGCTAAGGCACTTTGGCACTAGTAAACTCTTGCTTACTGAAAGAATCATGTAAAGGAAGAATCACACATTAAACTTTCTTCCAGAACACTAAAAGTTAGTATAGGCTACTAGGTATGATAGCTGCTGCCAATAGATAACATATAAAGTAGATTTTTAAAAAGCAAATTCAGGTAATTCAATACACTGGTTAGTTACAAAAAAGCAAATAAAACCAATAGCTTCCTTATGAATCAATTACTTGTTAAACTGTATAATAAAAATACAGCTTACTGCCCGGCTGGTGTGTTTCAGTGGTTGATCAAGAGGTTGCCGATTCGATTCCCGGTCAGGGCACATGCCCACGTTGTGGGCCTGATCCCCAGTGAGGGGCATGCAGGAGGTGGCCAATCAATGTTCTCTGTGATCGATATTTCAATCTCTCCCTCTCCCTTTCTCTCTCTCTAAAAATCAATAAAGAAAAAAAAATACAGCCTATTCAGATGAACAATAGTATATACATATAAGAATAATATGAATAAAAAATGTGTTACATCTGTGTGACAACAAACTATGCTACTCTATGAAAGGAAAAAAAAAAGATGGGAATAAATGAAATATATACTGTGTTATTGGATGGAAAAACCCAATATCATTCAACACATAAATTCCAATAAACTCTATGCAAGTTTTTTGACTTAACAAAATAATTTTCAAAATATTTCTAGAAGCAAGTGAGATGAGAGTAGTCAAGAATTAAACATAATGTCTAATATACAAAAGTATTATAAAACTATGATATTTAAATAATATGTAAATAGCATGTGACATACTGGAACTTGAGAGTACCAAAACATATAGATGCAAGAATATATAAAATTTTTCAATAGTATAATGTTTACAGTATTATAACTGGAATTGGTAAAAGGGACTTTTCTGATAAAGTTAAGGTTGCTATCACTAACCTTAGACAAGGGAGATTATCCAGCATTATCCTGGTGGGCTCAATATAATCATGAGTCCTTAAAAGTAAAAGAGAGGTTTTGTAGATATCAATGAAATAATTGTAAAGTTTAAATGGGAAAGCAAAAGTCCTGGAATAGCCAATAAAATACTTAAAAAGAACAAAGTGGCAGGACTCACACTAACTATTTTAAGACATATTCTGAAGTTACTTTAATCAAAACAGCATAGTATTAATGAGGGAATAGATACATCGATTAATGGACCATAATACAGAGTCTAAAAATAGACCCATGTAAGTATAGTCAATGATCTTTGACAAAGGAGCAAAGGCAATTCAATGAAGATGCATAGACTTTGTAATAGATGGATCATAGATTTAAATGTAAAATGCAAAACTATAAAACTTCTAAAAAATGTTAGAGAAAATTAAGAAACTTAAGTGTGGCAGTGAGTTTTCAGATACACAAAAACACATGACATATGAAAGAAAAAAAATGATAAGTATGATTTTACTAAATTGAAAAACTACTGTTCTGTGAAAAAGCATTAACAGACTAAAAAGACAAGCCACAGAGTAGGAGTAAAAGTCTGCAAAAACACTTGCTCAATAAAGAACTTCAAGATATAGAAAGAAACCTGAAATTTAATAAGAAGAAGATGAACACAATTTAATGCTTGTGTGAACCCTCACTCTGGAAGTTTGTTTGGCAGTTCCTTACAAAAATAAACATAGCCTTACCAATCACATTTCTATGTACCCAACTGATTCAAAAACTTTTGTGCAAACAAAAACCTGTTCATGAATGTTTATAACAGTTTCATTGATTATAGCCAAATTTTTTAAATTTTTTTTATCCTCACCCGAGGATATTTTTCCATTTTTTGTACAGACAGAGTGGGAGGGAGAGAGAGGAAGGGAGAGAGAGAGAGAAACATCGACATGAAGAGACACATCGAGTGGCTGCCACCCTCACGACCAACAAGGGCCGGGGACAAACTGCAACCAAAGTACGTGCCCTTAGCGGGAACCGAACCCGGGTCCGGACCGCAGGCCGACGCTTTTAACCGCTGAGCCAAACTGGCCAGGGCGATTATAGCCAAATTTTGAAGCAACTACAATATATTCCAATGGGTGAATAAATAGACTGGTATATTCATATAATGAGATATTATTCAGCAATAAGGGGAAATGATCTATTAAGTCATAAAGAAAATGGATAAATTTAAGATGCATATTGCTAAGTGATAGAAGCCAGTCTGAAAGTCTATATATTAAATGATTTCAAATGTATAATTTTTTTGAAGGAGAAACACTATACAGAGAATTTTAAAAATCTATAGTTGTCAAAGATGCAGGGGTAAGATGGGAGAGTTGAATGGGTGAAGGTAAAGAGATATTTTAGGG